CCCATCTTACTCAGTCTCTCCCCAACCCCAAGGACAGTCCCATTCTACAACAGTAACATTGCACTTTATTGTCACTGTATTTTAAGTGGAAAATGCAATGTCTCAAATAAAGACATATTTAAAATTGGCAAAAAAAAGAGAATAATCTGTACTTGAAACTGAGTCTTTGCTCCTTTGCCTACTCCAGCACATACAGATGCCATGAGAATTTGAAGCGTTAAGGAAGGAGAGCATGTGTGTTTGTGGATTTTAAGTCCTCATATGATTTCATTTGGATCAACACCACATGTACTAATTTAAAGATTTTATAGATTTTATCTGTTGTTCTTGAGTTGGTCAGCTGTGTATATCTATTCTAAGTCTTAGGGGGGAAAATATGTTCAATAAGTAAGTCTAACTTATAATTCTGGATATTAATGGATGCCATAGAACGTATGGAGATAATATAGTCCAGGAGATAAGACTAGCTTTTTTATTTCACAAAATATTTTTCCCCTTTATTTAGAGCACAAATAGTATAAAGAAATAAATAAAACCAAGTTTTTCTTCGAAGGAAGTCAGTACTAAGACCAGAAGTAACCAAGAGTTCTGCACCCACATAAAGCCTTGTGACTATTTTTAGTGAATGAAGGGGGCCCTCTACTGGTGTTTCAGGACATTTTGGAATTTTCTTTTAAACTTACTAGAGGAGTTTTCGTTTTACTCATGTTTACATATTTAAACGTAACATAGTTTCCTTCAGATAGACTAGGGAATGGGAATGTGAGAAGTAGAATAAAACAGTGCATCCATGTATTTAGAATTACTGAACCAAGTTTTCTGAAGTATAATCTGGTAATTGTTCTGACCTACTATATGCTTCCTTACCAAAGAATCTTACAGATTGTGATCTAGAGAATACCATAGCCTGTTCCCGTTGCATCTATCCTGCCTCATAGTGACCCTTTAGGAGGGAGTACAGTTGTACCCAAGGATTTCCAAGATTCTAAATGTATGTTCTCCTATGGAATGGCTGGTGCATTCAAACCACCAACCCTTTGGTTAACAGCCAAGAACTTAACCACTGAGCCACCAGGATTTTTTGAAGAATTTTCTGTTGTTGTTGTTGTTGTTATGTACCTTCAAGTCGGAACCAACCCATAGTTGACCCTCCAGCAGGTTTTCAGAGGCAGTAAATTGCATGAGAGGAGATTGCTCATTTTTATCCCACAGAACAGCTGGTAGATTCAAACCACATGCATTTGAGTTGACAGTGCAGCTCCTTATAACTCATTTAAACTACTATATAATTTCTTGTAGATTTCCCTCACATAAGATGCATTTCATTCTGTATATTTTTGTTGTTGTTGTTGGTTTTGAAAGTGAAAATAATCAATAGATTTATTTGCTTGCTGCCCTTATCTTTTCGTACAATTTTCTTTTTTCTTTTTTAGCGGATTATCAAATAATTTTATGGGAAAGTCAAACCATCACTGCCATGTGTCTGCATATGAAAAATCTTTTCCTATTAAGCCTGTTCCAAGTCCATCTTGGAGTGGTTCATGTCGTCGAAACCTTTTGAGTCCCAAGAAAACTCAGAGGCGACATGTCAGCACTGCAGAAGAGGTGAGAAAACCTGCAGCAAAAGCTGCTAAAAGTTAGACGCTTTCCCTGTATTTAGCCACTTAATATCTTTGCTTTTATGTGCTTACTCCATTTAATTCTTTCTGCGATTTTCTTTCTTAGAACTCTTGAGTGTTGCCATCTGTTCTGAAAGATCTAACAGGTGTTTTAGCAATACATCATTATTTTCCGTTTTGTCTTCTATTTCTTTTGGGTAGCAGACTTTTCCTTAATCTCCAGTATTCTCATACATCAAAGAACTCCTTGACTAGTAGACTTTTCCAGACTCCTGTTCCCATTTGTAAAACTTTTAGCATTATTTTGATTAAAAGCTTGTCCCTGGTTCTCACTAGGTATAATTTGCTGTCAATATAGAATAAAAATGAAAAAAAAAATTTTAAAAGCCAGGTAAGCAATTAATATGTTGTTCTATAGAATAAAAACTTTCTCAAAGGAGGGGGAGGAATCAAACCTGTGACTGTATTGTAGTGTGGCACAAAATATGGTTACCTGTTGAGTTCTGTATTTATTTTAGACTGGCTGTTGTGGAGCTATACACAAATTCATTCATCCATTCTCTTTCTCTCTCTGTCTCTCTCTGTGTGTGTGTAATGCTATATGAAAACTTTCTGTAACATTAGTTTCTCCAGTATTATTCTTGGGTATATTATTATTTTAAAATTTTTTAATCTGTGAAATAAATACATTTGGAAATTAAAGTTCAAAGACCAAACAGCTAGTAAAAGGCAAGCGTATAATGTATGTTCCTCCTTCGTATCACTTGATCCTCTTCCTTTGCATTTTCTTTGCCATTCTCAGACTTATATCGATTGGATAATTTCATACTCCCAAATAACTCTTGAGCTGCAGACTAGGTCCTTGGAAGACAAGAAACTGGAATTTCCTTTATCCTACATTGCCAAGGATATGGTAAAGATTGAGCCTGTCCTATCAAACTTGAGCTGCAGGAATTTTTGTCTGAATTGTTTTAGATCTGTATTGTCCTGTTAAGAAAAGTAAACCACCTATACTAAAAAAACATAGAACAACTCTTATCTTATTAATAAGAAAATAGAAGCCAAACTATATTATCAGTTTTTAAATAAATTATTTAGGTATCAGTTGTGCAGGCTGGATTTAGAAGCGATTGTGGTACTAGAGAAATTACAGCTAATGTTGGATGGATCTTGGCAGAAAGCAGGGCGTACCAGAGGAATGTTTATCTGTGCGTCATTGACTGTACAGTCTTTTGACTGTGTGGATCACAATAAGCTATAGCTGGCTCTGAGAAGAATGGGAATCCCAGAACATTTGATTTTGCTTATGGGAAACCTGTACTTGGACCAAGAGGCTCTGTCAGAACAGAGCAAGGAGACACTGCATGGTTCAGACTTGGGAAGGGAGTCCACCAGGGTTGTATTCTGTCTCCATACCTTTTCAGTCTGTATGCAGAACAGATCATCCAGGACCCTGGGCTATATGGGGAGGAATGTGGCATCAGGATTGGTGGAAGATTCATCAACAACTTGCATTATGTGGATAACACAACCCTGCTTACTGGAACTGAGTAGGACCTGAAGCGCTTGCTGCAGAAGGTCAAAAACTGCAGCCTTCAATACAGATTGAAGCTCAATATCAAGAAAACACAGATTCTCACCACTGGGCCAATTGCCAGCATCAGTATGGATGGTGAAAAGATTGAGATAGTTAACAGTTTTAGTTTCCTTGGCTTCACAGTCAACATTCTTGGTACCAGCAGCCATGCAATCAAGAGATGAATTGCATTGGGAAAGTCAGCTGTGAGTCACCTCTCCAGAGTACTGAGGAGAAATGATATCAGGGTGGAAACTAAGGTGTGCCTGATCTGGACTGGCAGTTGCATGCTATGCATTGGAGAGTTGGACAGTGACTAGGGATGACAGAAGGAGAATTGATTCCTTTGAACTATAGTGATGGAGAAGAGTGTGAATAGATTATACCACGGACTGCTAGGAGAACGAACAGCTTTGTCCTGTAGAGGATGAAACCAGGCTGCTCCTTGGAGTCAAAGATTCTGAAGCTTTGTCTGACATACTTTGTGCATGTTGCAAAGAGGGACTTGTCCTTGGAGAGAGACATCATGTTTCAGAGAGTGGATAGACAACGCAGGTGAGGAAGACCTTCAATGAGATGAATCAGTTCAGTGATTGGGGTGATGGAAGTAAGTGTGTCGAAGACAGTGAGGTTGGCACTGGATAGAGCAGAATTTAGGGCTTTGGTACATAGGGTCGCTATGAGTTGCTAGTGACTTGACAGCACATGACAACAACAACAATCTTGGGTAGTACATGTAATTCACATAAAAATAAAATACCGTTTTTCCTCTGGGACTAAATAGATAAGAATTTAAAAGCTAGTGGAAAAGTACTTGTCCATGGAAATGTTGGGATCTCTAAGAGAGGTGCTTGGTCCCATGCAGTTTAGATTTTTTTTGCTGTACACTCTATGTGTCTTAAGATTTTTTACCTATTTACTATTTTTAATATGTACAACAGTGAAATGTTCTTAACTGTTTGGGATTCTTTCTTTTTTAAAACCATAAATTAATTTAAACTGAAAGTATGAGACTTGAAGAACCCTCAGAAAATTATTTGGGATGTGATGCTGTTATTTTTAGGTGCCGTTGAGTTGGCCAGGACCATAGTGATCCTTTGAACCTAGCTCTGCCCTGCACCATCCTCATGATTGCCACCATACTCTAGCCCATTGGGACAATCATTGTTAGTTCATCATGTTGAGAATCTTCTCTCTGTTGCTGATCCTCTGTTTACTCTTTTTAATTTTATGCTATCTGATGACTCTGGGATTATACAGGCTTAAACAGAAGCTTTTCTTTTAAGATGTATTAATTAAGGAAAATTATTTGTGGGGGCTTTTGGTATGTAAACGAGTCCATCCTGGTGGCCCGTTAGGCACTTCATTACTGACCTAAAAGTCAGTAGTTTGAACTCACAAGTTACTGCACAGGAAAAAGATATGACTGTTTGCTTCAGTAAAGATGATGGGGGAAGGGTGTTTATCCTGTGCTATAGCATTTCCTGTGAGTGTAAATTGACTGCATGGCTTTAACTTCATGGTTAAAGCTTACAGTAGTACAAATGACTCTTTTCTGTTTCACTTTTCTCCGTTCTTATTTAAGGTCACTAATGGGGGGATGATTTTGAGTTTTTTACGTTTCTTTGGCACAATATATGATGAAGTAATCCCTTACCACCAATTTATCTGCTTTGCTTACTTCTCTATGATGTGATAATACAGTCAGAACTTTTTATCCAAGAATGATGGGACAGTGGAAACAGGGTAATCACCATAATCCAGGAGATGCTCCACTTTTAAGTTTAACTTCCCTCTCACGATTTTCACATGTAACTAATTCTGATGTGCTGTTCCAGTCGTTTTTGGATAATCGTCAGCAGAATCTTGCTTGCATGTGAAATCAATGATATTGTACTACAGTTTCCACACTCTGTTGGGTCACCCTCCTTTGTAATGGGAACAAATATAGATCTCTTCCAGTCAGTTGGGCAACTGGTTATTTTCCAGATTTCTTGGCATAACTTGGTGAGCACGTCCAGGGCAGCATCTGTTAGTTGAAATATGTCAATTGGTATATCATCTATTCCTGGGGCCTTATTTTTTGCTATTTCCTTCAAAGCAGCTTGAACTTCTTCCTTCATCACCATAGGCCCTTGCTCATATGTTGTTTCATTAAATTCTGTGTCTTCCAATTCCTTTCGATACAGTGACTTGGTATATTCTTTCCATTTTCTTTTAATACTTCCTAAATAATTTAATATTCTGCCTAAAGCCTCCTTGATGATAGCAACTCGAGGTTTGCATTTGTTCTTCAGTTCCTTGAGTTTAAGAAATGCTGAGCGAGTTCAACCCTTTCGATTTTCTGAATCCAGCTCCTTGCACATTTCACTGTAATGTTTAAAAATGACTGGAACAGCACATCAGCAGAGAACTGCCAGAAGTTGATGCTGGGTTTAGAAGGGGTCATGGTACTAGGGATTTTGTAGCTAATGTTAGATGGATTTTAGCTGAAAGCAGGGAGTACCAGAGGAATGTCTATCTGTGCTTCATTGATTATGCAAAAGCGTTTGACTGTGTGGATCATAACAAACTGTGGCTGACTTTGAGAAAAATGGGAATCCCAGAACACTTGATCGTGCTAATGCAAAAGCCTATACTTGTACCAAGAGGCAGTCGTCAGAACAGAGCAAGGAAATACTGCATGGTTCAAAATTGGGAAGGGTGTATGCCAGGAGTGTGTCTTATCTCTGTACCTTTTCAACCTGTATGCAGAATAAATTACCCAGGAGGCTGGGCTCTATGAGAAGTGTGGCATCAGGATTGGTGAAAGATCTATCAACAGTCTGAGTTATGTAGATAACACAACCCTGCTTGCTGAAACTGAGTAGGACCTGAAGCGCTTGCTACAGAGGGTCAAGGACTGCAGCCTTCAATATGGATTGAGGCTCAATGTCAAGAAGACAAAGATTCTCACCACTGGACCAAATGGCAGCATTAGGATGGATGGTGAAGAAGTTGA